TTCCCTTTTTAAAAAATATTTTATTTAAAATTTATATTTTTTTTAAAATATAAATTTTATATTTTATTTTATATAAAATAAAATATTTTATATATTTTATATATAAATATAAATGAGGGAGAGAATGAGCAGGGAGAGGGGCAGAGGGAAAAGCAGACTCCCCGCTGCGCAGGGAGCCCGACATGGGGCTCTATCCCAGGACCCTGGGATCATGACCCAAGCCAAAGGCAGACACTTAACTCACTGAGCCACCCCAGGTGACCCAAGATTTATTTATTTTAGAGGGAAAGAGAGCACGCGCACAGGCGAGGGGTGGGGGCAGAGGGAGAGGGAGGGAGAAAAGTGGACTCCCTGCTGAGGGGGAACCTGGACAGACATGAGGCTCAATCCCAGGACCCTAAGAGCATGACATCAGCTGAATGGACGCTCAACCAACTGAGCCACCCCGGCGGCCCTTCTTGAAACATTCTTATCTCTTGGCTTAAGTGACACTATTATCTCTTGGTTTTTCTTGAATCTCTCCTGCCGCTCCTGCCTTCATCTATTTCTGTCTAGTTATTTAATTTTGGATTCCACAAGGCTCAGTCCTAGAGTCTCTTTCATCACTCTGGACTCCATCAGTAGACAAGCTCATCTACTTCTAAGGCTTAAATAGCCATAATATACCACTGTTAGCTCTCCAACTTATTTCTCCTCTCCAGATATTTTATCTGAGCTTCAGATACATATATTCCAACTGCTTACTTCACAGCATCTCCACTTAGAGGGTCTCAGAGACACCTAAACTCAACAAAGCTTAATTCAAACTCATGATCTTCTCCATGGAATGTCGTCTCCATTCACTGTTTCCTCTCTTAATGAAAAATACCACTCATACCTTTACATATGTGTTCCAGCTAAGTTCCATAAATATTTCATCAGTAAGTATTGTTTTTTTCACCTTCTGAATAGCATTCAAATTTATCTACTTCTCTCTATTTTCAATGCTACCATTTTTAATATGTTATTACTTTTCCTTCCTTATTGCTCTCCTGTCCTTCTTTCCAATCAGTTCTCCACACTGCAAGTGTTATTTTTTTTAGAACACAAGTCTGATCATGTCACATTCCACTACACAAGCGTAAAATCCTTCAATGCGAGGCTGTCCAAGATAAATATGTCAGCCTCATACATCACTTTAAGCGTTCCAGTTAATATTAAGATAGTAAAAAGAAGCTGGTAAAATTACTTTTACAACATCTTAATTTAATCCAATATATCCAACATATTATTTTAACATGCAAGCAACATAAGAAAAAATAAAGTCTTTAAAATCTGATACAGATTTTACACGTATTCAGACTAGCCATATTTCAAGTGCTCAGGAGCCACAAGTGGCTAATAGCTGGGAAGTGAAGCTCCAATAACATCTGATAATTCTTACTCTAAAAACCGTTAAAGACACACTTCTGGTCTGGTCCGGCCTTAAAAAAAAAAAAAGTACCGAGAACACACAACAGCTTAAGCCTCAGTTACAGAGTCTGAGGCCTAAGACGGCGGCTTTCTTCTCGGTCCCCAATCCCCGTTCCTTCCTCGACCTGGAATTCATCACTGCTGTAACGATGTATCTAAGAAGTATCACTATCCACTCAGGTCATGATCCCAGGTTTCTGGGATCCAGTACCCCGCACCCCCACGCCCCCATCGGGCTCCTTGCTCAGCATGGACCCTGCTTCTCCCTCTTTGGGCCACTCACCCTGTTTGTGCGTGCAGACGCGCTCTCTCTGACAAATAAATAAAATCTTAAGTAGGCACTCCGGCCTATTTTCCGGAGCTTTCCAGCTTCACCTCCTCCGGATCCCCAAATTCCCACATTTCCTTACCCAGCCCAACACCACCCGACAGAAACGAAGTCAATCCGTCAATGTTTACTTCCTGGCTTTCCGCCCTCTCCCGGCAGCCACTGCGGTAGTTTCCGGGCGATCTACACATGCGCACTAACATCTTAGGGGGTGGCCTCGGTGTCCCACACGATGTTGTTATCGCGAGATGTCTTTACCTCGGGAAAGCGTGAAGTGTTAGTTTGAGCTGCTCTAAAGGTTTGAAATGTTGTTTCTTGCAGAATCTTAGGATGTTAAAAAAAAAAAAAGTACCGAGAACACACAACAGCTTAAGCCTTTCTGCAGAACTATGTAATGAATGGGGAAGTTCGTGACATATTAATTAAAAAAAAAGGCAGTTAAAATTAGCATTAGTAGTCATACTGCGTAACACTTTGGGGGCGTGGTGAGCAAAAAGAGTCTTTAGTTCCTCGAAATTACATCATACAGAGTGAAAAAGACACTAAAATGATTATTCAAATAATTTACAGTTGTAAAAAGTCTCTGTGAAAGGAATACCAGATGCTATGAGAACATAAGGCGCTATTCGGTAATTGTGATATTCTGCACCGAAGTGATCTTGTGTTTTATCATTAGAAAAAAATACTATAAAACAATTTATATTTTGGGAAAACAATAGTATCTATGACATCCCAACCCTCCTTTTTTTTTTCTTTTTTAAGATTTATTTATTTATTTATTTGAGAGAGACGGAGAATGTGAAGCAGACTCCCTGATGAGCAGAGAGCCTGATATGGGGCTGGATCCCAGCACTTAATATGCAATAAATATTTATTGAATGAATTAATCCTTCAACCAATTTTGGTTCCGAAATGCCAGGGAAGAAGGGCCAATGAACTGACATATATTGAGAACTGCATCTATGCCAGATGTAGTGCTAAATCTTTTGTGAAATAATGTAGGCTCAACTGCTCTCTCTCAACTTACCTACAAGTTAGAATGTATCTAGTGACCTGTGGGGAGTAGGGATTGGATGATACAGGTCAGTGTTGGTCTTTTGATTTTATTCCTTTACCTTGTATTTGTTTAATCTATTTCCACTTAGTATAGAAATATGAAAAGGTCATTAATTTTTTCAAGCATAGTTTCTCCCCATATCTTGGAAATTGGAATTCCTTATCTATATTTTTATTATTCCCCAGATCTTTTTCTCCCCCTTGTGCCCTCCGCCACCAGGCCCTTCCAGGCAGCTGTGATGAATGTATTGTTTTTTTTTTTTAACTTTTTTTTATTCTTATGTTAATCCCCATACATTACATCATTAGTTCTAGATGAAGTGTTCCATGATTCATTGTTTGTGCATAACACCCAGTGCTCCATGCAGAATGTGCCCTCCTCAATACCCACCACCAGGCTAACCCATCCTCCCACCCCCCTCCCCTCTAGAACCCTCCGTTTGTTTTTCAGAGTCCATCGTCTCTCATGGTTCGTCTACCCCTCCGACTTCCCCTGCTTCATTCTTCCCCTCCCGCTACCTTCTTCTTTTTTTTTTTTCTTAACATATATTGTATTATTTGTTTCAGAGGTACAGATCTGAGATTCAACAGTCTTGCACAATTCACAGCGCTTACCAGAGCACATACCCTCCCCAGTGTCTATCACCCAGTCACCCCATCCCTCCCACCCCACCCCCCACTCCAACAACACTCAGTTTGTTTCCTGCGATTAAGAATTCCTCATATCAGTGAGATCATATGATACATGTCTTTCTCTCTTTGACTTATTTCACTCAACATAATACCCTCCAATTCCATCCACGTCGTTGCAAATGGCAAGATCTCATTCCTTTTGATGGCTGCATAATGTGATGAATGTATTGTTAAGATACAGAGGTTTAAAATAAGGTTAAGAGGTTTAAAATAAGTCCCATTAAATGATAGAATTTGAAAGGAAGCCTGGATTATGTCCTCCTTAGGATCATCATTTTGTTCATAAGCCAGATTCTTGATGCCATAATAGAAACAGCATCCTAGCTTGAAATATATATATTTTTAAAGATTTTATTTATTTATTTGACAGAGACACAGCGAGAGAGGGAACATAAGCAGGGGGAGTGGGAGAGGGAGAAGCAGGCTTCCCGCCGAGCAGGGAGCCCGATGTGGGACTCCATTCCAGAATCCTGGGATCATGACCTGAGCCGAAGGCAGACGCTTATCGACTGAGCCACCCAGGCGCCCCCTAGCTTGAAATATTGAGGATAGTTCTCTAGTTAGGGATAGTCAGTCCATTCTTAATCACAAGCCTAACAGAAAGACTCAAACATTGCTGTTTGATCTGTTTGTATTTACATTGCTTCTTAACCTTTAAAGATTTATTTATTTGAGAGAGAGAGTGCTGTGAGCAATGGGGGGAGGGGCAGAGAGAGAGAGAGAGAAAATGCTGAAGCAGGCTCCCCGCTGAGCATGGGCGGGGGGGGGGGGGCTTGATCCCAAGACCCTCAGATCTTGATCTGAGCCAAAAATCGAGAGCAGGCCGCTTAACCGACTGAGCCACCCAGTGCTCTGCTAGAGTTCTTTAGAGAGAATCTGAGTTGTTTTAGCACTTGACTGTATATTTTTTTCATATATCTAATTGAAATACAACTATATGTATCCATAGTTCCTCAGTTATTTTTCCAATGACTGTAATCCCTTTCCTCCAGGGCTGCATCTTCTTTTTTATTTGATCTGCTCTATTTATTCTTTGGGTAAATAGTTAATTGAAGACTTTAGGAAAATAGTTCTGTCGCCACTTTGCCTTGACTGTTGTTTGAACCCCACAATCTTTTCATTTAAGAACTTCCTGGCCCCCTAAGTGTCTCAGGAAAAAAACCCCAAACTCTGTATCTTGATATCATAATAATCATTTATTTCCTAGAATTGAAGACCATATTCACTCCCTTTCTATCTCTGTGAGGCGCAGGTTAACAACACCTAGAAGTAAAGGTGTCAGCAGGTTTGGTTTTTTTCTTCCCACGAAGCAAGCTACAAACTTCCCGGGAAAAGCTTTCCAGGCGGTGCCGCGGGAGCTTGGGTTCCTCCCATTGGTTCTTCCTGGGAGCCTCCGCCCACCCACGGTCCCGCCTCCTGCGAAGATGAACCAATAGGGGCGTGAGTTGTGGTTTAAACTTGGGAGTCTGGCGAGATCGCTGGAGACCGAATCTTGGTTGAATTTGGCTGTTGATTCCGACGTGGGTGGACCGTGAGGTCGTGAGTGGCTGGGCGCGCGGGTCCCGCGAGGAAGGAGGTGGGCTGGAGGCCGGAGGGCCTGGGGGTCGAGGGCTGGGGCTTCCCGGGGTCGTCTGTAGCGCCGAGCCGGGTTGAGCCACGGCCTCGGACTGCTTGCGCAGCCCCCGTTCTGGTGAGTACCAGGACCTGTGCCAGCCCCAAACCGCCGACTCTTCTGGAACTTAAAGCCTCCGGCGTAGGCTTCAAGAGTTAAGGGCTGGATTAAATGCCTGTTGGCTCAAGAACGGGCTTCGCTCGCTCCTTAGCTCTAGTTCTTACGTGGACGTGCCCAGGGTAGAAAGTTTGGCCTGTGCCACCCCTTAACTTCTCATCTTCCCTAACCCCCCGGGTCTAATATGTGTTTCATACCCGCAGCTAGTCCAAAATGGCTACCCTGATCTTTGTTGATAAAGAAAATGGAGAACCAGGCCCTCGTGTGGCTCCCAAGGACGGGCTGAAGCCGGGGTCTAGGCCTCGTAAGTATGCAGGCTGCAACGCGAGTTACAGGTATTGTGAATCAATTGCGGGCGTGGCCCGGAGTTGCAGAAGCATTCCGCGTACTTCGTTGGCAACTTGAGTCAGGTATTACCGAATACCGCTGTTGCAACGTGCTTGTTAGGGGTCTCTTTTTCATGTTCAGTACCTTAGATTATTTAAGAGGGTGCAGAAATGAAGTACTGTTAGGCATACGGCCATGCCACCGTCAAAAGTGGGGGTTGAATTTGGGGATAAGAATGAGGCCAGGTTGATATACACCGTCAGCCTTCAAGTTGCACGGGTGTTTATTGCCTGCATAATCTTATTCTTTTCTTTAGCAGTCAAAGCTTTAGATGGGAGATCTCAGGTTGCAACACCACGTGTAGGCAAAATGTTTGATGCTCAAGCAGCCTTACCTAAAGTTGCCAGAAAGGCTTTGGGAACTGTCAACAGAGCCACAGAAAACTCAGTAAAGACTAATGGATCTCTCAAACAGAAGCAGCCAAACTTCTCTGCCAAAAAGGTAAGTGTTGGCTGCAAAGTCACTGTTGAAACACTCTAGCACTTTTTTTTTTTTTTTAAAGATTTTATTTAGTCATTTGACAGAGAGCGACACAGCGAGAGAGGGAACACAAGCAGGGGGAGTGGGAGCAGGGGGAGTGGGAGAGGGAGAAGCAGGCTTCCCGCAGAGCATGGAGCCCGATGTGGGGCTCGATCCCAGGACCCTGGGATCATGACCTGAGCCGAAGGCAGACGCTTAAAACGACTGACCCACCCAGGTGCCCCCACTCTAGCATTTTTTGACTCTTAAAATGACTATTGGCATCCTACCTTGCTTTCTCTCTTGTGAATACAAGGAGATAGAGGCTACCAAACATAGATTAAGGGGAGGGAAGCATACTCTTTTTGTGGTCTTCCTCTGTGCCTTGAGATCAGAAGTCTCAGAAGCAGCTGGTGCATATTTTTGCCTCACCTGCTCTTAACTAGTGTTGAAGCGGATTGGTTAGTAGTATCTACTTATGGATACAGAAAGTACTGAGAGGGAGGGTCCTTTGCAGGAGGTCAGGGAGCTAATATAATAGCTCAGGTGCCACCATCCTCCCCCCAGCCTCCTGGAGCAAGCACCAGGTACTCTACTTTGCTAGCATGTTGATTTTTGTGTGTGTGCATGAGCTAAAGGTCTGTGCATCCCAGACTGAGGAGACTTTGCTGTGAAAGATGACTCAGCATGTAGATTTACACTTCATTTGATAAAATAAATGGTTTTACTATGTATTAGGGAAAACAAAACTAGTACTTTATATTAAAATAAGACTTGTGGTTTAGGACAAGATATCTTTTAAAATGAGTAAGAGAAATGTTAAGTTCAAGTATTGCAAGGCTATGGCAAAAATAGTGAGAATGTGACACAGAACTGAAGTATGGGAAACCCTACTTTAAGGATTTCCTCTAGGTATGCACATATGACATAAAGTTGGATCAAGAATATGCAGGCTTCTGCTTTGGCCTGCTACGGTAGACTGCTTATCTGCCAATTTTACACTAGGGAATTATCCAGGCTTCTAAAGTCCTTGACTGTCTTTTGCTGACTCTTACTCAGTGTGTATATTTCAACTTAATATTAACCAAGCAAATAATTAAGGTAACACTGATGGAAATACAGATGGAAATCACCCTTCCAAAAGCCAAAAATGGCTTCTAGGATTAGCTTCTATTTGGGTGACTCATGCTGTTTTCTCTGACAGGTAGAGTGACTGAGTTGATTAGCTCTGAATTAACTCTGCCTACTTGGTGACTTATGTTAAGAGGTGCGGATACTTAAATTTCAGACTTAACTTGTGAGCCATGCTACTAGAATTGCTTGCTGAATTGTATTGGTATGTAATTATGAGAACTAAGGATTATGGTTTTTTAGAAGTCAGCATGAAATTGAAAACTGGTGAAGCAGTCACATGTCTTAAAAAAAGACTATGATCTTTTGTCCTAATCAGTTGACAAGGCTTCCCCTTTCACTAATTCATATTTTCTTGGGTGGTTTTAGGTGACTGAGAAGACTATCAAAGCAAAAAACTCTGTTCCTGCCTCGGATGACACCTATCCAGAAATAGAAAAATTCTTTCCCTTCAATCCTTTAGGTAGTATTCTTTTGGTATTACAAAAATGCTTTAGTCTTGAGTGTCTCTTAGAATCCAATTCAACTCTAATTTGACATGGATATGAATATGACCTATGACCCAAAACTGTAATAAGACTGTCTGAATCTGGGTTTCTTTGAATAAAAGTACTTGTTGGTGGATTTATTTGTAAGGAACATCTTAGGTCAGAAGAGGAATTTGTGCAAAGATGTAGAGAACATTGTTCCCTCAAAAACTTACCACATAAGGGAGATAAGATGTGTTCACTAACATTGAACAAGTCTGAAGTGGACCGTATTCCTAGCAAGGCTTTTAGAAAGTGGGTTTAATATCAAGTTGAACAATGTCTGAAAAAATCCACATAGTCTGTGATATGTGTGTATTTTTACTCCCTTCAACCTGCTACATGTATCCAAAGTATTTTCTGTCATAGAAGCACCTTCCCAAGCTTTAATTTTCTTCCATTTGAGGAGAGGCTACTGTATCCAGGCTTTGGATGCAGCGGTTAACAAGCCAGGCCCCACCTTGAGGGAGCCCACGATTTGGAGGGAAAGGCAAACACTGAAAACATCCTCTCACTGTAAGTGTGAGAAGGAGAAAACCAGCCCATTAGGGGGAACTGAAAGTCACCTGGAAGAGCAGGCAACGTTTCTCTCAGGACGTGACATGATGTGGCCTTTTAAAGGCTATCAGGGGAGAGCTCATGGGGGGGGCGGGCAAGGCAGAGCAGCGCACTTAAGTGTGTGCAGAGATCCCGAGGTAGAGCAAAGGACTGGAGTGGTTCTGGGAGCTGGCATTTTTGTTTGCCCTTTCAGCCAAAGGGCATTTAGTCATTCTGTACATCCAGGTTGTTGCTGGCTTTTATATAATACAATTCTGCAGTTAGAGTTCTCGAAGTTGTATTGTTGTGAGTTTGTGACGATAGCTGGGGAGTAAACTTTAAGAAGGATTGCTGAGTCTCCGACGGAATGTGATTAAGATTTGATAAAATGGAGTGCTTCCATGCTAATGATTACCATTTAGCCATTAAGGAAAATGAGGTAGATTATGCATATTGATCAGGAAGGAGGACTACAATATGCTGTGTTTGAGGAAACAGATACTGCCAAGTTGCCCTCCAAAATAGCATAAATTACTGAATCCACCTATAGTGGTTGAGAATGCCTGCTTCTCCTCTAATCTCTAACAGCAAATGTTTTAAAACTCTTCTCAAAAAGGCAGTGAGTATCTCATTGTTTTAAATTGGGGAGCATGTATGTTTAGTGAGCGTATTTGATTATTGGCCTTCTGTAGCTTTTTTTTTTTTAACTTCCTGTTGGTATCTTTTTTTCCTTTGATAATAGGTCTTTCTTTCCTTTTTCCTTTTCCTTTTCCTTAATAGCTTTTGTGGATACAGGAAATTTAACCTTATTATGTTGCAGATTTTTTTCCTCTGGAGTCTTTTGTCTCTTTATGGCTTCCTTCATAATTCAGTGGTTTTTTTTTTTTTTTTAAGATTTTTATTTACTTGAGAGAGACTGAGCACAAGCAGGGGGAGGGGCAGAGGGAGAAGCAGACTCCCCGCTGAGCAGGGAGCCCGATGAGGGGCTCAATCCTGGGACTCTGGGATCCTGACCTGAGCCAAAGGCAGATGCTTAACCAACTGAGCCACTTGGGCGCACTGTATAATTAAGGGGTTTTAAGTTAAGTAGTCACCTATCAATTCCTTTTTAATTTCTGGGTTTTAGTAGTCTTGAAAAGAGTAGACTAATTCCTAGTATTTAGGCTTTAGAGAACTTTCACACTTCAGAAAATAATGGTTCTCCTTTCATCTTCCTTTTGAGGAAATGCTAAACCCCTTGAAAAGAGGAAATCCATATTTAAATTCTATTTTTGTTACTGTCAAGAAAAATCTATTGTATTTTCTTTTTTAATTAAAAAAAATTTTTTTAAAGTGATCTCTCTGCCCAATATAGGGCTTGAACTCCTGACCCTGAGATCAATAATCTCCTGCTCTACCAACTGAGTCAGGCTGGTGCCCCTCAAAAAATCTACTTTAAATAATCCTAAGAAATAATGCACTTGGATTATAAGAAGGAGTGTTACTTAACCCAATAGTTCTCAAATTTGTTTTAGGACTTCTGCAACTCTTAAAAGTTAGTGAAGACCCCAAAGAACTTTTGTGTGGCGTTTATCAATTTTAATTCCTAATGCAGGAAATTTAAATAAAAAAATGAATTCCTTTAAAAACCCATTACATTAAGTAACTTTTAAAATAACTTTTCTAAAACATTTAGAAGAACTGCATGATTTTATATTTTTGAAAACTTGCTTAATTTGGCTTAACATAAAACCACCTGGATTCTCCTCTGATTCTGCATTCAATCTATTGCATCTCTTTTAAAGTACATGAAGAAAATCTGGCCTCATGCAGATACGCAGTTAAGAAAGGGAAGAGCATTTCAATAGTCTTTTCAGATAAGTGTGGAGCGTTTTCTTTCATACTGCACTAAAACCCAACAAGTGGCAATTTCCGAATGTATGGCTGCAATTTGTAATCTAAAACCCTATCAGTGAACATTTTGTACTCTGACAATAAAATCCACTGGGCTGTTCTGCACTTTGAATCAATTTTTGCATTTATCACACATTGATCATCTAGAAATAATGATTCACTGAGAAATGTAGATCATCCAAATGTTGAAGTGTTTCATCATACAATATCAAACACACATTCGTTAATGTCACCACTGATCTCATCAGAAAAGTGTAAGTATTAGGAAGTTGGCAAGCTAATGATTGTGGATAAGTTTTCCAAAATTTTTCCAAAGTTGTTTTTTTTTTTTTTTTCTTGAAATGGTGATCATTGGCAACGCATATTGTGTTTCATGAAGGATAGACTTCTTTCGTTCTTCTGAGAAAATGTGCTACAAATACCCAAGTCTGAGTAACCAGTTTGTCCTTCCGTTGCTATTTCAACTAAACAGTGTTCCAGGAAAAAGTCCTCTAGTTTAGCTTGCAAACCAAATAATCACACAAATCTTTTTTTCTTGGGAGCTCACCTGGTACTTTGGCATGCAACAGAAGTGCTTTATGGTGTACTTCATCGTACAGAATACTAAAAAGACCACTGTTCCTCAGGGTTGAGAGCTAATAAAATTAATACTTCCTACTGCAGATGGTAAAGTGAGATGTGAAGCTGGCAATGTTTTACTGCAAGTGAATGGTACTGAGGAATATAGGGACTATAAAATGTAGTTTATCATCACCACCTTGACTTGTGCTGAAACACAGCAGTTCTGTCCATTGTTGATTTTTGTACCATCACCATGAATGTCAACACAGCGGAAGAAGGTGTTAATGTTACTGAGCACATAGTTTGACCTCATAGACCCACTGAAAGGGTCTCAGACCCCCCAGGGGGCCACTGACCCCTCTGAGAACCACTGCTCTGATAAAGTGCTTTTGTCTTTGTGGCAGATTTTGAGAGTTTTGACCTGCCTGAAGAGCACCAGATTGCACGCCTCCCCTTGAGTGGAGTGCCTCTCATGATCCTCGATGAGGAGAGGGAACTCGAGAAGCTGTTGCACCTGGGCCCCCCTTCACCTCTGAAGATGCCCTCTCCACCATGGGAGTCGAGTAAGTGAACAAAGTGCCCTTCCAGAAGGGCTGTGAATTATTTGAGTCATAATATTTCCATTATTGTGGGGGCAGAATTGTATAGAAGGTTAGCCTATGAGTAATTTCTATTTCAAACCTCAGAGATGAGGTTTTAGAATAATGAAAACTGCTTTCAATTGGTATTGTTTTCAGTCCCAGATGCCCAGGTAACATTAAGTCCTTCTGGAATCTGGACAGTTTTAGATACAGAAAACAAGATTAAATTTAGGATATAGCTTCTTAGTTTATGACTTGAAGTGTGTAAGAAACTTGTTTGGAACGAGAATTCCAAGTTCTACCCAAAGCTAATCTAGGATTAAGACACCTGAGCACAATAGCAGAATGGCAAAACCTTACTGCCAAGGTCGGAAGCCTGGGTTCTAGCTGGTGGTCAAAAGCTATCAGCAGTATGTTTTCTATTTGTTCTGATGGGATAACGTATACTATTTTATAAATTATGTCAGTGATATTGTTGGCTGTTACTTGGGTCTCTGAGAACAGTTGAGTTTCAGGTAGGTCTAAGACTTATTTCCTAATGAAGGTTAATTCTGGGATCTTAGCCACATTTCAAGAAGTAAGTGTGTGTGGGTGTGTGTGTCTGGCTGGGGTGGTGGTAGGGATTCATTAGACAAAGTTGAAAATAAGAATTTACGAGTAAAATTGACAACCAATGTCTGCGTTGAGATGGACGATGACTAAAGCGTTTGCTGATATTGAATAAGAAATTCCTGTTTTCTAGATCTGTTGCAGTCTCCAAGCATTCTGTCGACCCTGGATGTTGAATTGCCACCTGTTTGCTATGACTTAGATATTTAAATTTCTTAGCACTCAGTAGTTTGTGTGTATGTTTTGTATTAATAAAGCAATTCTTTAACAGACTCTTCCTAATCTCGCAGTTGGTATTCTTTGGAATTTGCTTAAAACAGTATGAAAATTAGTGGAAGTGTTTGACAAGGGTCTATAATCTGACAATAGAAGTATATCTGATTTGAAAAACTTACCTTAAAACCCTTTGATTTGTTTTAACAGCTTATTTTAGATGCTGCCACTGTTCTCCCTGAAACATACACCCTTCAATGTGTACTTTACTGCCTTTCTGTGGCCATTAACTAGTGACAGTTATTAGATCTCTTAATTAGAAGAGCCACTTCCAGCTCATTAAATATCTGTTGCTAAGCATTCTTTATTGCTGGTTCTATTTGGTTTCTAATGACTTTAATACTCACTATTCAGTAATCAGAATTTGAAAGGCTCTAAATCTGAGAACTCTACCTCCCTGGGATCTTTAATTAGGTTTTTGAAGATTGCAGCAGATAATTTATGGTTAGTAATATCCACTCTTCACGTATAGGAAACTCTGTTTAGTTGCTTACACTGTATTGGGACCGGTTTTAAGTATTTATTATTTATTTAAAGATTTTATTTATTTGACAGAGGGAGATAGCGAGAGCAGGAACACAAGCAGGGGGAGTGGGAGAGGGTGAAGCAGACTCCCCGCTGAGCAGGGAGCCTGATGCGGGGCTCAATCCCAGGACCCTGGGATCATGACCTGAGCTAAAGGCAGACGCTTAACAACTGAGCTACCTAGGCGCCCCTGTTTTAAGTATTTAATAAGCATTATTGTGTTTCAAGTTTATGACCCTATTTTTCAGATGAGGACCGTGAAGTGCAGAAATTCATTGATATGCCAAAGACATGAAGAGCTATTACTTTGATTCCAAATCTGGGATTGGAATCAAAATATCAGACTGTAGATGGTTGCTCATGGATTTTCTTTTTTGGAGGGCTGGGATAGAGGATATTAAAAATTGTTGCCACCATTTAAAATTCCAAAGTTTCGGGGCACCTGGGTGGCTCAGTCGTTAAGCTTCTGCCTTCGGCTCAGGTCATGATTCCAGGGTCCTGGGATTGAGCCCCGCATCGGGCTCCCTGCTCCATGGGAAGCCTGCTTCTCCCTCTCCTGCTCCCCCTGCTTGTGTTCCCTCTCTCGCTGTGTCTCTCTCTGTTAAATAAATAAATAATCTTAAAAAAAAAAAATTAAAAAAAATTCCAAAGTTTCACATACCTCTGGTTTTGGAGCGTCTCTTGGAAAAGGAGATCTGGCCCGACTGGCAGTGGAGTGCTGGCTGCCTTTTAGGTGGAGTGTGGGCTTTCTGTCCTACAGACCCTTCATGAAGTGGCCCGAAGGGACAACTGAAGTGTTCCTTCTACTCTCTTCTCGCTCTAGCTTCCTTCATTCTCTTTACTTGCCTGGGCCATGTAGTCTAATTGAATTGATCCTTGCATAATATCAGCCTATGTAGGAAGCCTTTCCCCTGTAAGTCTGTAGTGTCTGTAGTCGGAATTCGACACCTTTTCCATCATTATTGCAGTTGGTATTCTATGGAATTTGCTTGAAACTGAAAGCTAGTGGAAGTCTAAGGTCTTAATAGTCTAAGGTCTGTAATCTGACAATAGTCTGTCTTATTGAAAAACTTAAAAAAACACTTCAGTTTATTTAATTTATTTAATTTATTTTATTGCAATAGAGCAGGAGAGGGAAAGAACGGATCTTAAGCAGGCTCCATGCCCAGCGCTGAGCCCGATGCAGCCCGATCTCACGACCCTGAGCTGAAATCAAGAGTTGGACCCTTAACTGACTGAGCCACCCAGGTGCCCCTTAAATGGTTTATTTTAGAAGCTGCCATTTTTCCCTGAAACATACACCCCTCGATGTGTACTTTATTCCCTCCATTGTTAGGAAGCGAACAAGGAAGTGACAAGATAGGTGTGAAATACTAGGAACACATACACTGATTAAAATTTTTATCTTCTAAATATAACTGAATCAATCTGATTTTCTGTAATTAGTAGACTTCTGAAAGAGAAAAAAAAATAAGACTATTTGACACTTGGTTATAAGGAAGAGTATTAGATGTAGCATCCTCAGATATAGCAGGGCCGTATGAAAAGCAAACATGATTCTGAGTAGTTTTCATACTCTATAATAAATTTAGAAGCTTCGGAAAGGGGTCTCTTGTGATGGAAGGAACAAAGGACTGAGAGCATAGCAGCTAGTTAGTCCTTTACCAGCTAGTTAACTGTCCTTGGTCAGATCAAGCATGGAGTGATCTCTCTTCATCTGCTGTTAATCTGAATACAAAGTGCTTGGGGTGCCTGGGTGGTTCAGTCCGTCTGACTTGATTTCCACTTTTGATTTCGGCTCAGGTCATGATCCCGGGGCCCTGGTATCTAGCCCCGCGTCAGGCTCCACGCTCAGCAGGTAGTCTACTTATCTCTCTCCCTCCCCCTGTTTCTCTCCCCTTGCTCTCTAGTGTGCGTGCTCTTGAGCTCTCCCAAATAAGTAAAATCTTAAAAAAAAAAAAAAAAAGTACAAAGTGCTTAATGTTGGTTGAGACTTTGAGAACTTTAGACAGATGCTTCTCCATTAATATTTTTATTTTGCAGGGATTGCCACTATTTGTATACATTTTACTAAGTATAATGTGTTTGGCTTCATTACTCAAAAAAGCTTACGAGATGTCGTGTTTGCAATTCTAGTCTGTCCAAGCAGTAATGCTCTAAGTGGATTGTTTTTGGGGTGGACAGTTGCACCACACTGGACCTTAAGGGTGCTCTGATTTAGGTAAGGTGCACCCATACCTAGCGTACTCCTCCACTGGCATTTTTCAGGCTTCAAATTCCGATGAACCTTCAATAGGAACACAAAGCTTTTTAAATATGTTAATGTAAATATTCTGTCAGACCAATTCTGAGCAATGGTACCAAGTCACAGAAGGGTCAGTACAACCATCAGAATTCCTAAGTTGACTTTGTTCTTTCCATTAGTTTAACCAATCATGTACTCAGACCCCTCTGTGCTAGGGACCAAGGCTGTGATATGTGATAGTTAAGTAACACATTGCCCCTGCTTGTTTCCGTAGTGTAGTGGTTATCACATTCGCCTGACACATTGCCCCTGCTCTTGGGCCTGTTGTCCAGTGGGGGAGACTGGCTGGAAATGCTGTCAGGATACAGGAAAATGAATCCAGGGGCGGGAAGAACCAGCTGATGGGGAGCACTTTCCAGCCCACTTTAGGGAAGGGCAGGAGAGGCTTCCTGAGAAGAAACATGGATGGACACTTGATGGAAGAGAGGTGCTCTAGGCCGAGGAAACAGCTTCTGCAAATGCCAGGAGGCAAGAGAACACAGCCTGTTGAATGTTGAATGAAAACTAAACTTTTCCCCTGAAGGTCTGTAGCATCTGTAGTCAGAATTTGACATCTCTTCCATCATTATTGCAGTTGGTATTCTATGGAATTTGCGTGAAACTGAAAGCTAGTGGAAGTGTTTAATAGCCTCGGGTTTGTAATCTGACAATAGTTTGTCTTATTGAAAAACTTAAAACCCTTCGGTTTTAACACCCCTCCCCCCCCCGCCTTTTTTTTTTTCTTTTTCTTTTTCTACTTCAGGGTTGAGCAAGGAGTGTGGTTGGTTAACAAAAGAGTCTGGAGAGTTAAGCAGGGGTCACACGGCTTTGTAAACTATGGCAGGGGTTTAGTGTCTGTCCTAGGGATGTTAGGTGCCGTGGAAAGGTTTTAAGGAGGGAAGTGACAAGGTCAGATTTGTGTTTCAGAACCTCACTCTGGAGGCGGGGAGACCAATCTGGACTCTGCCGTAGATGATGATGATGAAATGACCTTGAAGAGGTGACAGTGGAGAATGGAATAAGGCTTTGGGAGGGATCCAGGAGTTGGACTTGGCAGGGTGGCAAATGGTGTGGAGATAGCACTGGGAAGAGTCAGTGATGCCCAGAAACACCGCTCACAGGAGGGTCCCCAGTTGTGTTTACAAACATGTTTGTTGCTGCATAGTTTGTAATCAGAAAATGTGATACAGATGCACATTGGAATGAAATGTATTCATTAAAAGGGATCTATGGGAGCCTGGGTGGCTCAGTTAGTTAAGCGACCGACTCTTGATTTTGGCTCAGGTCATGATCTCAGGGTGAGATCAAGCCCCAAGTCAGGCTCCATGCTCAGCGCAGAGATTCTCCTTTCCCGCTGTCCCTCCCCCCACTTGCTTGCTTGCTCTCTTTCTGAAAAATTTTTTTTAAAAAAAAGGATCTATATATGTGGCCATGGAACGATAACCATGGAACTTTTTCATTATCAAAAGTGGGTTATACTTTCTGCCTCTGGACGCTGCCGAGTAAGCATCGTTAAAGTCTTCCCTCCCACCGCCATCATGTCTAGGTCAGAGTCTCCCAAAGAGCCTGAACAGCTGCGGAAGCTCTTCATCGGAGGTTTGAGCTTTGAAACAACTGATGAGAGCCTGAGGAGCCATTTTGAGCAATGGGAAACGCTTACGGACTGTGTGGTAATGAGAGATCCAAACACCAAGCGCTCCAGAGGCTTTGGGTTTGTCACCTATGCCACTGTGGAGGAGGTGGATGCAGCCATCAACGCAAGGCCACACAAGGTGGATGGAAGAGTTGTGGAACCAAAGAGGGCTATCTCAACAGAAGATTCTCAAAGACCTGGCGCCCACTTAACTGTGAAAAAGATTTTTGTTGGTGGCATTAAAGAAGACACTGAAGAACATTACCTAAGAGATTATTTTGAACAGTATGGGAAAATTGAAGTGATTGAGATCATGACTGACCAAGGCAGTGGCAAAAAGAGAGGTTTTGCTTTTGTAACATTTGATGACCATGACTCTGTAGACAAGATTGTCATTCAAAAATCCCATACTGTGAATGGCCACAACTGTGAAGTAAGGAAAGCCCTATCTAAGCAAGAGATGGCTAGAGCTTCATCTAGCCAAAGAGGTCGAAGTGGTTCTGGAAACTTGGTGGTGGTCGTGGAGGTGGTTTTGGTGGGAATGACGACTTTGGTCGTGGAG